ACGGACCCCGTCCCCCCCCAGCCGCAGCCCCGTGGCTCTCTGTTGCCCCACAGCCGGACGAGCACGGAGCAGAGCAGGACACGGCCACCACGGGCCGACCCCAGGCGCGCACTGCTGCAAGGGACCACATCCCTGCAAGCACAGAGGACGCACATATGTGGGGGTACATACGAGCCCCAAGCGTGGCTGTGGGTGCTGCGGAGGGACATCTCCATGCCCCTGCACAGGGCCGGTGACCAGTGGGAAATGGGATGGAGGCAACGTGGGATTATTTGTTTTTAATCAGACACCAGGAAAGAAGCACAGGGAGAAAGGGGAGCAAACCTGCAGCTCATACACAGTGCACCCCGAATGCATCCCGGGCTGCGTTACACCGCTCACACGGCCACGTTGCTGTCCTGCCTTGGTGCCACGGCTGCAGCCCGAGGTCCCAGAGGCACCACTGCCACCGCTCCGCTCCTGTCCCTGTCCCCAGCGAGGGGAGAGGGCGCAATCTCACAGGGGCACTGGCCCAGCCGCAGGCATGGTGTATGTCACACTCATCATGCGCCTGCAAAAACACGCCGTGGATGTAAACTGGACAGATTTAGCGACAGTGGGGCCTTCTGTTCTTCCTTACATCTCTGGACCATTTCCCCACCCCTTAAATGCTTTACATTATTTATTACGTTTCATTTAACCCCAGCCACGTCCTCCAAATAAAATTTATTTTGCAGCTGTCATTCAGGTTTACTCCGGCCTTAACCTCGTAATCCTATTGATTCCCTCATTATTCTCGGAGCGCCGGATTGATTTCATGCCTTCTGTGTTATGGAGAAGCCTTTGCTCATTAATCTCACGCACATTTACAAACAGTCGATCCTGGTAATTCATTATTTTCTCATCCCCTACACAGTCAGGCTTGCAGCCTGTCTGCTTTGCCTCCTTATTTTGGGGTATAGATGAAGACGGTACATGATGCCTCTCCCAAAGGGCGTCCACCCTACACCCTCGCAGCCTGGGGCTCCGCGTCCCAAGGGAGGGTGATGGGCTCCCATGCACAGGAGGGCACCAGAAAAGCCCCTGGACTCATGCTCTGCGTCACCTTTGGGAGATGCCCGGGGACTCCATCCCACTCGGAAAGATCACTGCAACTGGTTGGGCTGGGAAAAAAAACAGAGAACCAGAAGAACTCTGGGTTGGAAAGGACCTTGGGAGTCTCCAGACCAACCCTCTGCCCACACCACGGAGCACTTCAGAGTCAGATCGTGTTGCTCGGGACCCTACGACTGCCTTGTGCGTGGGGCAGCAGTACCTGTCGCTGGAGACGGCGCTCCGGCTGCGCAGCATAGAGGTACTGCTGACGTACACAGGCATGCACGCCTCCAAACACAACAGAAGTGTGTTATTTATACAGTGTGATTAATCATCCTGAGTATTTAATATAGCCCCATCGGAGTGCACAGCGCTGTACAGTATATGGAGGAAGACATGACCCCTGTCATAGAGGCTTAGAATAAAAAATAGGCAGACACTATAGTTCAGACACGTAATAAATCCCGCTGAAGGGCCAATCTCAAATATTTCAGCTGTTTCCCCCTCCCCCCATAATATATAATTGTCTTTGTTGGATCAATACAGAGGGGCTTTGTGGAAGGAGCACGTTTTAAGGGAAGATTAATGTAGTGAATTATATATGCAGCTAGGAAGAATTCTAATATTTAACTTCCAGGAGGAGAAGGAAGGTTTGTGCGATCGAATCCTCCTTCCAGGGTGGGAACGCAGCACCCGGCAGGTGTGGGTGGGCAGAGGAGCTGCAAGCACCCCCCGCTCCCGGGGACCCGCTCCTCCGGATTGCGGCAAGAGCCTTCCCGAAGGCACGGACATCTCTGCCGGGGACGGGCGGATTCAATTAGCGGTGGAGCTGAGAGCATGCCAGGACACCGTGCCAGGGAAGGGATGGCACGGAGCAGAGGGCTGTGCCGGGGCCGGCCGGCCACGCACCGGCACGGGAAGCGCAGCAGCGTGCGCTGCTGTTTCCATTGCCTGTGTATTGACACAGCGTACACTGGCGTGCCTGTGCCGCATCCCTCAGCCCCGCTCCGGCCCCATTTCAACTTTTCAGCAGTTTTGCCCCATCGCACACATCACACCCATCACCAAGGCCATGCCGTCCGGTGCTGGAGTGTGCCGGGCAGCTGCTCGGCACGAGGCCGGCACACTGTCCAGCAGCAGCACGTCTCGCCCTCTAGATGCAGCCAGCAGCAAGCAAACAGGGCAGTGCAGAGGGAGCAGGAACTATATTGGTTACTAAATACGTATTATTTATCCACAGGAAAGCCCCTGTGATCATTTCCCTGGGTACACTTACACACACGCCATCCGTTGCTCGGAGCATCGTAAGTAAATGAATACCCCTAATCTTATCGATGTGTAATGACAGAGGGGGTTGAGCCCTCCCTCCGGTGAGCGGTGCAGAGCTGGCGGAGCCGCACCAACAACCTCGGCTAGGTGTGCATCACGCGAAGTGCGCGGCTATCATATGGAATAAATTTAACTGAATCAAGTTTTGATTAAATGCAGTAAATATGATTGATTTGGTTACATACCCTCCGTACGATGGTCTGTTTAATTTATTTTTTCATTCTGAGAAGGGATGTTGCATTGATCCAAAACATTAGCTTTGACTACCACCGTAAATTCCCATTTTAGGGTGACCCGCGGCAGCCTTATTAATATTTTTACACTTACCCAGCAGTTGCTGGGGTTAACCCTTCAACAACGTGCCCAAATTGTGCTGTGCCACAGGGGCAGGAGGGGTGACCTGTCCCAGCACCGGCAGCTGCAGCCAGTGGGAGAAAGTCACATATTTTAATGCCACCATTGCAAAGCCACCAGCCCTCCAGTAGCTCCTAAACCTGCTCCCAGGACCCCTTAGGGCCAGGGCGGTTGGCGTTAATGCCGAGTCAGCATCTGCATTGGGCTGAGCTCCCTCCATGAGCCCTTCGGCAGATGGGAACATGCCCCAGGCACTGCCGTAGCGTGCCCGGAACGGGCTGTTTCCTATCTGAAAGCACACAAAACCCAGCACACCGCTCACCCTCCGCACCACGCCGGCATTTGGACCAACACTACTACAGATTTCCTTACAACAGCTTCTATATCTTTCTTTTTAACAAGGGAAAAAAAAATGCCCAAATATTTTTTATATTACTAATAAATTGAAAAAATGCTTTATGTTTTCAATATATTTTCAATTTACTGCCATGGTCAGTATCTTGATTGCTATGTATATTTTATAAGCAACGTCAATGATAACCAGATTTAGCTGTTGGTTTCTCCATAAATATTGTGTTATCCACCAAAAGTGATCTCTGGTAACAGTGTCATTAAAAATAAGGCTGAAAAGTGTCAGGGAAACACCAAAAGCAAAAAGGATAAATCACTTCCAAGCACGTCTCGGAGATACTGGAAATTCTGAGAGTTTATTTGGAAGATAAGCTCATTTTTAACACACATTTTAGACAGATCCTGCAATCCCAGTACCCACAAAGCCCCGAAGAAACACGTGAGCTCATTGCAGGCTCTCCCTGCAATGAAATCCTCCACAGAAAGGATTTCTATACATTTGCACTGAGGACAGTGACAAAAGTCACCGTGAGCCCATCCAAGTCCCAGCGCAGGCTGGGGGCTGCGGGGTCCCACCCCGACCCCGGCCGATGGGGTCTCACCTGACTCATGGCTCACAAGTCCATCACCCCGGACACGCTTTATATCGCTTTTCTCTCCTGTGTCTTTTTACATCATTTCCCTCTCCCGCAGGCAGCTGTGCCTCGCAGTGCATTGCTTTGCCGCTGCCGTTAATACTCCGAACAGCAGCACCCATCTCACCGAGTGTTTCAGGTTATCTGTCACCTGCCAGAGCAAACTGTGGGAAACCACCTAAATAGCCCCAAAAAACTTTTTTGGAAACTTTTACCAGCTGGTGGTAGAAAATGCTACGGAGCAGTGGGCATCCCAGCTGGGGATACCGCTGGCTCTGGGGTGCCAGGGGAGCAGAGGGGCTGGTTTTGGGGGAGGTGCTCCCTCGATGGTATCAGGTCTCTGCAGGAGCCGCTGTGGCCACACAGACTGATTGATCCACAAACAGCCCCGTGGCTCATCTTGCTGGATTAATACTCTGGCAATCCTAAAGGGGCCAAATTTAGTCTGTATGTTACTGAATAATTTAACTCGTGGTGAAATCATCGGCTTAGCAGTCTCCAGATAAGGATCTGAACAGCTGAGCAGGACATGCGCTGTGAGGGCATCTCTAAATACTGAATTATTCAGCAGAAATGTTTCTGCTCTCCTCCCTCCAATCCAGTTAAGCTGTGTGCTTAATTGCAAAGCACACTCCCCTTATTTTCACATAACAGTGGGACTGAGGACTTGGTTCGGTGATGCAGTGACGCGTTACGGAGAAGTCAGCTGCAGTGAGGACTTCACTTAAGATTAAGATTTTTCCTACAAGTCCAGGAGTGCAGCCCAAGAAGGAGTTGATGCGCTGGAGTGATCTGCCCACGAGGAGCAAAGCTGGAAGGGAGCCACTTTGCCCAGGCTGGGGCTTTCTGCAAGAACAGATCCGACCCACGTGCCCCTTCCTTCTTTCTGGAGGCAAACAGCACAAATTCACCCAAACTCACTCAAACCTACATGTCCTCTGTCAGGCAAATTTTAGTTTCATTGCAGGCAGAAGATCTCTCACTCACCGCAGCTATTTTTTACGAGCTGGACAGTTTATCCTCACTGAGGTCACGTCCATCTTTTCCAGTGGTGCTCTGCAGTCAGGGCGATCAAGGGGAAGCATCCAAATCACTCGACAAACGACCCAGCACAGCCCGAAACACCACAGCGCTTCAAATCACAAACAGTTCTCAGCTCTCCCAGACCAGTGCCCGGAACAGGGCTGGGCTGCAGCCCCTTAATGAATTAATGAATGCTCTACCATTAATTCACAAGTTAATGGGGGTCCCTGGCTTCCCAGGACCCCACAAACGTGACACAGCAGGAGATGAGCTGGCAAGCCCCAGCTACACCGGGGTGTGCATGGATGGGTGCTGGCACCCAGCGCCGCGCACCCAGCACACCCCGCTGAGCCTCACACTGCAACCCTGGAAATTAAAAAACCCCGAGACGAAGCTGTGGCCGCACGAGGGGCTGCCTCCCTCCCTTCGCCTTCAACAGGAGCCGGGAGAGCCCCAGCTCAAAAGCAGCAAGTCTTTTCCCATGGCACGCTGGCTTTCTTGCTTTAAAAAAAAAAAAAAAATTAAAGCTTTCATAGCCCCTTTTCATCTAATATTTAACGTGCGAGAGTTTCTACATGCCCAGGTTAGGTAAACATTAGAGTAGATTGTTTATAGAAATTATATACAGAGTGGTGCTGGTTTAATTTATCAAAAAAGGTTTTGTTGAAATAAATTCATTTTACAGTGAAACCCACTTAAACCTGTTAAAGGGGTGACCTTGTTTAAATGAACCTGGTTGTGCTTCAGCTCGAGCAGCACCACGATACCATCTTCCAGCGTAAATATTCCCCTGCCCTCCCCGCGCGCGGGACCTCGCTGACAGAAGCTCTGCCAAGGAGAGGGCTGCCTGGATCAGTGGTCCCCACAGGGGATGGGAAGGATGCGGCCGCAGGCTCTGCGCAAGCCGGGAAGCTTCAGCCACCGGTGCCATGGTTTGATGCCGCATCTGCCCCGCTCACCCAGTGAGAGATGAGGAGCAGGCGGTGGCAGCAGGCGGGATTTGGGGGCCGCCGTTGGGATGACATGGGATGTCGCAGGAGAAACGTGGCTCTTGGCAGGTGGGAGCTCTGGGGCTGACCTCCAAAACTGGGGGAACAAGGGATGGGGAGAGCCCTCCGGCCTCTGCCTGCCCCGCTGCTTCATCCGACACTGCTGGTTTGCTGTTGGATTGATTGCTACTGACACCGCTGTTATTATCAGCCTGACGGGATCACACTTATTTGGGGAAATAATAATAAAAATAAGGCAGTAGCCATTTTTTCCCCTCTCCTGAAATTTATTGCCAAGTGGGGAAAAGCAGAATCTCTGCTCTCGCCTCCCCTCTGCTGGCTTTGGCCAGCTGCAGCACTTGACTCACGCCTGGTTTTTGTTCCTCTGCTTTAAAAGAGTTAAGGACAGTGAGGCCAAACAGGGACCGTGCAAAATACAGGGGGGGAAAAACCCATCAGCATTTCTCCTTCACGACACAGGTCAGATTAACAGGGGGGAAATTAATGCTAGCGTGTTTAATGGAGGTGAAATGCTCTACAAATGAGCAGATGCATTGATTGGAAGCACGTGGCTGTAAGAGTTAATCTCACTACGGAGCGATACTGGGAAGCACATTCATTCATTCAGCCATCCATCCATTCAGGAGGCATCAGCCAGGTACGGGACTTTGAGCAATTCCCAGAGTCTGGCCTAAAGGTATTTATAGCCTAAAGCTAGGGAGGGGGGAAAAAAAAAAAAAAGGGTGGATTGGATATGGGAAACTGCACTTTGGAAGTGATCTATGCAAAATCCACCAAGGCAGAATTAATATTGTCTCGTTAACACAGGGAACAATTTGAAATTGTATGGGAAAGGTGAATAAAACCTGGAAAGCATAAGAGCCAGCTCTGATTTCAAAGTCCATGGGAGCATTCCAAGGCAGAGCTTTAAAATTAGAAACAGCATGCAAAGTTACTTTTCCATTGAAATGTCATGTTTTCCTCAAAAGGAGCTTTTTCCATCTCAAAAAATGCATTTTGTCACCGAGCAGTAAGTGCACTTCTCCTGACAGATTTGCTGAAGCAAAAGCTCTTGGAAAAACATCGCATCCAGGCGCTCGGCAAACAAATAAAAGCCAAGAAGAAAAGAGTTCGGCCAGCACATTTCCATCCGGGGAGGTTTGCTGCGCATCCTCTAAGCGTTTCTCTACCTTTTCACTTGGGGTAGAGGGGGAAGTGCAGCCATCCTTAAGCAGCCCGGGTTTCCGACACGGACCCTCCACTCCCCTGTGCCTCCCCCGCAGCTGCCCGTGTTGCTCCTTTTGGGGCAGTGAGGACACCCCATGATGGCCAGAAGGGTGTTTGGCATTTGGGGAGCTTATTCCCAGAGGGCAGACACTGCTTGTACCAGAGTGTGCTGCATATCTGGTATTTCTCTCTTGAGGCAGAGCCAAAAAGGAAGAGCAAATACGAGTGCTGACTCCAAGAGTCTTCCCAGTAAATCCACGCAAATCACCATCAGCTGAATTCAGGTCTTGCCTCCAGCCTAAAATACGAAGTTTGGACACTCTAGCTCCTGCCCAAAGCAGAACTGTTGGGGTGAAATCAGTCATGTGTGACCCAGGATGGAACAGACCCCATGCCCAACCTTCACTCAGACCCCGGGAGAGCCTCAGCTTCGGGCAACGGTCCCTCTGTAACAGTGGGGATCCACCAGCATCACCCGAGCTGTGATATGCAAAATGGCCACCCTGATGGCCAACACCGTCACGGCTCTGCCGGGCACCGAGTTACTCACCATCCTCTTGTTTCCAGACAGTGTAAATGCCCAACCCCACAAGCAGGCTCTGTAGCACTGTGGGATCCCCAGTGTCCCCCCAGAACTGGGTACGCAACAGCAGATACCACCCGCTCCTGGTGCTCGTCTCCGGCCACACCACAGAGAGCTACGGGGGAGAAGAAGAAGAGATTTAGGTAAGTGGAAATGTAAAAAGGGGATGCAAACTTGACAGGTCAACAGCTTAGAGATGACCCTGCTCCCCGTTGCAAGGCCGAGCTTTGCGCTAGTGGGACAAAAAGGCAAAGAGCATCCTTGGCACGTCCCCCACAGGCAGCCCTGTACCACCACGCTTTCCTGGGAAACCACAGACCCGTTGCAGGGGCGGACTCCCGCTGCGCTGGGGAGGGGGTTGCTGGAGGCCAGACTCTCCCCTTCCCCGGGGACGCGGCTCCCGCAGGGCTGGCAGGTGCTGCCGGGCCACAGCCCTCCCTCCCCTGCCCGCGTCTCTCCCTCCGGGCCGCTGCGAGTCAGC